GATCCAGCTGGATCTCGTCATTCAGAAAAACATATATTTTGTCCAGCGATTTTGCTTTCCTGACCAGATATAGCCATTTTCTTAGATTTATCTCAATTAGATAGCGCAGTCGCTCTCATTCATACAAATTGATCACTATAGGGCAACCAATATGTTCATATAGCATTAGGCGGATTGCGATCTTCGAGTTAACCGTCTTCTCAGGTTTGTCCGGCAACGTGTGAATTTCTTCTCACTGTTCGATCCAGCAGAACCTCTAGATTCAGAATAATATAAATTTTGCCGAGCAGTTCGGCTTAGTTGAGGAGATATAGACATTTTATTAATACTATCTCATGTGCCACCTTCAAGGCTACCGTAAGCTCAGATTTGCCCAGTTGCATATGAATTTTTTTGCATCATTGGATCCAGCTGGATCTCGTCATTCAGAAAAATATATATTTTGTCGAGCGATTTTGTTATCCTGAGCAGACATAGCCATTTTCTGGAGATAGTCTCAATTCAATAGCGCAGTCGCGCTCATTCATACAAATTGATCACTATAGAGCAATGATTACGTTCGTATTAGCAGTCAAAGATCTCTTTGGAAACTCTAAAGAGGAGTTAGCTGTAAATAGATTTCTAAAATTTCCAGTACCATTCATATCACGTTCAAAGCAATCACTTCCTTTGTTTGTTTTATTCCACTGTATTTCCGATAAAATTCTGTCAAACGCTCGGCTCTTTTCATGCAAAATTGTCTGTTATTCTAAGAATTACAATGTCAGAAGTGCGATCGAGGCATTTCTCGTTGAGTGAATCACATTATATCAGATACTATTAGAGCATACAATAATTTTCAACCGAATGTTCATTAAAACGTAAAACTTTCTCTGAATGGTTTATAAACCTTTGAAGGTTGAATAATAGAACTTTTAAGGTATGTTTTCATGTCAGATGAAGAGGATGAGACATTACCAGCGATAAATTTGAACACTTCAACTGGACGTGAAGCATTGTGGACGAAAACGAGACGGGCGATGAATTATATATATGAACGATATTATGATAAGTTCGACTGGTTTCTGAAAACCGATGACGATACCTATGTGATCATGGAGAATCTGATGTAACTGCTTGCTTTTTTGATGTTCTCAAGTACCGCTTAGGTTCATGGTAGTAGAGCACCCATCTTGTAGTTGGCGTGTCGCGAGTTCGAATACCATCTGCAAGGGAAAGTTTTACTCGAAACCAAATGGTTTACCAATATCGTCACCAAGCCTG